GGAGCTTTTCCTCCTCTTTGGAACTTTGTCTCCCAACTTCCAGCTACCTCAGCCTCCCCCAAACTTAATCTCTCTCCCCTCAACTCATCTTTGTTCTACATAGGATCCTCTTTCTGGCTCCCTGGTTCAGAATGTGCCTACAAACTGAAAGTGGGGACAATTGTTTCCTTTTTACACATGGATCATAGTCCTGCACTGACTGTTGTCCATTGTGTGAAACATATTTTGTCCTGTTTTCTGGTTGTCTGTAGCAAAAAGGTTAGTGTGCCCTATTATTCCATCATGGTCAGAGATGGAGGTCTTAAGGTTATTAAATATTTAAGTTAAAGATATTTTTACTTCAAAGGTCATAATAAAAAGTAGTGTTGTACCCATAATGGAAATTTTATGGGAATTTTTCAACTAATAGCTGGGTTTAATCCATTTTTGCTTAAGGTGTAGGAAAAAAAATTTTAAAAATTTAAAAGTGACTTACTTTACCACAATTTATGAAAAGTTAATTTAAATAATGGAAAAATGTTCTTAAAATTTTTTTAAAGACCTTATTTTTAAGTAATCTGCACACCCAATATGGGGCTCAAGCTCACAACCCTGAGACCAAGAGATGCATGCTCTAGCAACTAAGCCAACCAGCCTGATGGGAAAATGTTTTGGGGTTTTTTTGTTTTTTTTGTTTTTTTTTTTAAAAATCTACATTTTTTACACTCTTTTTTAAGATTTTATGTATTCATTTGAGAAAGAGAGGGTGCAAAAGCACGAATGGGGGGGGAGGGGCAGAAGGAGAGGGACAAGCAAACTCCCCAATGAGTGCAGAGGCCGACTCAGTGCTCCATCCTAGGACCCTGAGATCATGACCTGAGCTGAAGTCTGATGCTTAACCAACTGAGCCACCCAGGTGCCCTTCATGGAAAAATGTTTTCAAAAGTGGTAAATCAAATACATAACCAGACACCAAATAATATTACATATTTTATTCTGGATGTGACAAACTGATCAGTTGTCAATTATTGTTCACTACTCCTCTAATAGGAACCCCTATTAGCAATTTTTAACTTTTTTACCCAACTGAAACATTTATGAGACTTTATTCAACAAGGTGAAAAAATATTTGAGCTATTTTAATCTGCGGTTGAACAACATTTACAGTCATATGTCAGCACAACTATTATGATGATTAGAACAAAGGGCTACATGCTCTTTAAAAACAACTTTGCAGGAGCGCCTGGGTGGCTCAGATGGTTAAGTGTCTGCCTTCTGCTCAGGTCCTGATCCCAGGGTCCTGGGATTGAGCCCTGCATCTGGCTCCTGGCTCAGTGGGGAGCCTGCTTCTCCCTCTCCCTCTGTCTCTCTCCCTGCTCATGCTCTCTCTCTCTCTGTATCTCTGTCTCAAATGAATAAATGAAATCTTAAAAAAAATAAAATAAAAACAACTTTGCAGGGGCACCTGGGTGGCTCAGGTCATGATCTTAGGGTCTTGAGATTAAGCTGGTGTTGGGCTCCATGCTCAGTGGGGAGTCTGCCTGAAGATTCTCTCCCTCTGCCCCTTCCCCCCTAACTCTCTCGAATAAATAAATAAAATGTTTTTTAAAAAATACAAACTTATCTAACAGTTGATAAAACCCAAACATAATATTTTAACTGTCATTTAGAAAGTCACTTTGGGGGCGCCTGGGTGGCACAGTTGGTTAAGCGACTGCCTTCGGCTCAGGTCATGATCCTGGAGTCCCGGGATCGAGTCCCGCGTCGGGCTCCCTGCTCGGCAGGGAGTCTGCTTCTCCCTCTCCCGCTCCCCGTTTGTGTTCCCTCTCTCGCTGTGTCTTTCTCTGTCAAATAAATAAATAAAAAATCTTTAAAAAAAAAAAAAAGAAAGTCACTTTGGAACATTTCAATTAAACAACTGAAAAATTTCAGACTCCTGACGTGAATGTATATAGTAGGCGCCTTCTTATGTCATCTTTATTTTATTAAAGCACTGAGATAAAACTGAGGTAAAAAAAAAATCATGAACATTAAATCAAAGTGATAAAGATGAGTGAGAAAATCAAAAGAAATTATCCTGACATTGAAAAGTAAATAGTAATCATTTTTTTGCAGATCATAACAAAAACAGTAATTGTGGAAGAGATAAATTGCAAATGAAAGTAATAAATAGTTTGATAATCACTTTGTAAAAAGTGAATCATATAAACTCATTAAAAATATTAAATTTATTTTTGATTTGACCTCAAATTGACATGAAGAGGATATAAACTCATAATACATGATTACAATAAGGATGTGTGTGTGTGTATAACCAATAATGAACTGAGGATGAAAAAAAATTTCTGAACTATCAGTAATAAAAAATGAATACTGATCAACTATGCTAGAGAAAAGACTAAATTATCTTCCTATTCTCTCCAATTTTAGTATATGTGCTGCCGAAGCGAGCACTTCCTATTCTCTCCATAGAATATATTACAAAGCCACTGTCATATGAAGGTATGATTGACGTGTACATAGCCATAAAATGTTGGGGGGGGGGAAGCATGGAGAGGTGTGTCTGGTAGTTCAGTAATAAAAATGTTATATTTTAATATTTTGCATTTGTAATTTGTAATATTTTTCAACTCTTAAAAATCTATAATATGGTTATTTCTTTTCTTAGTCCAAATAAATATTCACCTTTGTACCTAATTTTGTATTTATAATTGTTATTCTTTTACTTAAGGAGCCACCCTTGCCAAATTATATACATATAAGCTTCACACCCCACAAAATCTGGATTTGTTCTCTTATCATCATCCATTCTTGTCGTCTTCTAATCTGCACACCACACCACAGCATAAAGGACCCTATACAAATTCATGTATGATTTTATTTCTCCCCTACTCTTCAAGTGATTTCCCATTAGCCTTATGATGAAGACCAAAATCCTTAACATAGGATCTGGGCCCTGTCTACCTCTCCACCTCCTTCTCTCCCTCTGCTCCAACTACACTGGCATCTTTTAGTTCTTTGAATACACTACCTCAAGATCTTTGCACATGCTGTACCCTGTGTCTAGGAGACATTCTACCACCCCACTGTCCCATTAACAAATTACCTCCTATTTAAACTCCCCATGGCCACTGAAAGTTTACTTCCTCAGCGAATCCTTAAATTAGGTCAGCCCCCCACCTCCTTAAATGTTCATTGCTCTCTTTACTTTACCTTCATAGCATGTCTCCTTATTTGTAATAATACATCTCTGTGATTATTAGATTGTATATATTTCTGCAACTAGACTGCAAGTTCCATGAAAAAGGAAGAGTGTCTCCTCAGCATTAGTCTAGCATCTGGAATAAAGCTGGCCCTTAATTATACAATCTCTGCCATCAAATAGTTCATAATCTAGCCTTGTACTAAGAACAGTGATATAGGGGTGCCTGGGTGGCTCAGTTGGTTAAGCGACTGCCTTCGGCTCGGGTCATGATCCTGGAGTCCCGGGATCGAGTCCCACATCAGGCTCCCTGCTCAGCAGGGAGTCTGCTTCTCCCTCTGACCCTCTTCCCTCTCATGCTCTCTCTCATTCTCTCTCTCTCAAATAAATAAGTAAAATCTTTAAAAAAAAAAAAAAAGAACAGTGATATAATCTTAAAATTTGGGGCATCAATGCAGGTTCTTTTTTGTGCCAGTAGTCTTCACGGAAGTCTTGATTTCTTAGGGATTATTGCACCAGCTTGCAAAATGAGCCTAGTTTGAGGTTGTAACCCAGTACCATGGTCATCTGGGAACTACTCTGACCAGATTCCCAGAATAATTTTTCTTGCAGTGGACCTTTACTTCATTTTGTAAAGATTCTCTTGCCTTCTGTAAGCCTTTTTTTTTTTCAAAAAGGTAACACTTCCTTTTGTGTAAGGCTTATAGTTGTATATATGACATTTCAAAGTACTTCCACAATTATTTTTACCTCATAATAGTATAGTGCTTTCATGAGTTTTAAAACACTTTTTATGCCGGATGGTCTAGCTTAGAGAAAATACACTTTGTTAGGAGCCAGGAGGCACAGTTGTTGCTCTAAGCTGGGAATAAGGCTTGACCCCTCACCTTGCCAGGGATAATTCTGTTTTCACAGACTTCAGCAGAGGGTTGAGGTAGAGCGGTACTAGAGCTACCACAGAAATATTTGGAGCCTTAGTTCATGGAATTTTTCCCCCTAAAGATTATTTAATGTGGTTGGGTAACCATGTTTCAGGGGTTTTGTTTTTGTTCAATGTGCATATCCTCCAACATCTTCTAAGAGGGCTTTCAAAAATTCACCAAGTAATATTAGGGTGTCAGGATATCCCTAAGTTGTTTGCTTGTTTGAAATCACGTTATCAGCTGAGGCTTGGAGTTAAGAAAGCTGACTCAGAATCCAGCTTCAAATGTTAACAGGTGAGTTGTAGAGAAAATTAGAAATGATTAAATATAAGGGCCCTCATAAGCGTCTGTTGACTAGAGGATAAAATACGATAGAGACCAGACTTTTGCCTATCAGCTGATCTTACGACCTGGTAGGTACATTCCTCCCTTCTCTTAATCGCTTACTGTGAGCTGATTCCCTCCTCCATTTCATCTTATCATCTTTCCATTTTAGTATGTACGTATGTATTTATTTATCTATTTATTTAGAGAGTGAGCGAGCACAAGCAGGGGGAACAGCAGAGGGAGAGACAAGCAGACTCCCCGCTGAGCAGGGAGCCCCACGCGGGGCTCAACCCCAGGACCCCGGATCATGACCTGAGCCGAAGGCAGCCGCCTAACCGACTGAGCCACCCAGGCGCCCCATCTTCTCTCCATCCTAATCCTTGCACCAAGCGTTCACACTCACATCACCCGAGAACCCAACCCGTGCCTCAGACTGAAGAAAGTGCAAATCCCCGTCTCCGACCCGTTCTTCGCCCCCTTCCGTCCACTTCCGGTTTCCGGCCCGCCGATCCGTCCTCCCTCCCTTTCCGCCCGCAGGCCCGCCCCATCGGTCCTCACATGACCGCACGGCTGCTCCGCCCCTTGTCCCCGGTTCACGTGATCGTGCTAGGGGAGAAAACGCCTGACCCCAGCCCCCGGCCTTATCCAGGCCACCCTTTTCCTCCTGCGGTTCATCCGCCTTTTGCCCTTCAGACACCTGCGCGTCCCTCTCTACTCGGTCCCGGGGCCCCTCCCCCGGAGCCCTGTCCGCCATGTGGCTCCTGCCTCTGGCCCCAAGTGGGCCCCGGCGGAACAGCCCCTGTCACCTGCCTTCCTGCAGCCCGGCGCTGCTGCTGCTGCTGGGGAGCTGCCTGAGGGTCTGTGGGGTGGCGGCGGGCTCTCGGAGGCCCAATGTGGTGCTGCTCCTCACCGACGACCAGGATGAAGTGCTCGGCGGCATGGTAACTCTTCTATTTCTGCCCCGCCCCTCCATCTCCCGGGCTGACCCCCAGGTTTCTTGTCCGCTTTCCCCATCCCCACCCCAATTCCCTCAGCTGGCTGCCTTGGCCCTGGATAGTTTTGCTTTTGTCACGCCAGACCCCTTACGCAAGTTTGAGAGGCCGCAGGACTCTATTTCCTCTTTCTCCCGCGTCCCTCTCCCGCGTCTTTTCTGAGTAGGCACACATGCACGCACCACACAGAGCTCCTAGGCTGGACCTTAGTGCTGCGGAGTTCGCGTTCATAGCTCAAAATAAACAGGTGGACGCCAGTTAGGGATGGGCTGAACCAAGGAGGAGCAGGTGCTAGCTAAGAGCACGCAAGCTGTGTTTTTCTCTTGGATTAGAGGATCTGAGGACAAGTCCAGCCCTCTCTTTGAAGGACCTGCGGCACCTCTGTATTTGTCTCCGTGTACAATGTCTGTGCCTGATATTTATAAAATAAGTGCTGAAATGAACTAATCTGGTAGGTAGGTTGTCGAACTATCGAGGGTGCGCTTTGCCTCACAAGAATCAAGAAAATTCAATTAGCCTAATTGAACACCTGGCTGATGCATTCGCTACTCTTGTCCGCGTTCCATTTTAAATGTGCCTGGTCATGAGACCTCATTCTTTCCCAGAGTGAATTTTGCTTCTGTATCTTAGAGTTCTGGAATTTATGACCTTCAGGAGCTTTCACCCAACCCCCTACTCATGGAGGCCCGAGAAAGTGGCTTTCCCAAGGCGGTTGAATAGTTGAAACAGGTCAGAATGCTGACGAGTGCTCTGATTTGGGTATGGCATTTCTTTTATCTTTAAGAAAATATATATATATCCTTTATTTTTTCACTTCAGTTCTGTTTTTGCTTTCAGCTCTGTTTTTGCTTTCAGCTCAGTGTCCTTCAAACTGCCGATTTCAACCCATAAGTGAGTTGTGAAATTAGTTTAGTGAGTAGCTACCAGGTTTTTACTTTCCTGTGGAATAAAGTAGAATAGAAAATGTTGGTGTGATACATGTGGTACATATGGTAAAGGTACACATATCCATATATATATTTCTGGGTTATGTATGAAAATGTATTTCTTATTCAGGGCTGTGTTCACGACTATGAGAAACTTTTCTAGTTTATGTTTCCGATGCTTGCATTTTGACTCCACACTTCTTCCTGCCACATATGCCTCATTGCCTTTTATTTCTGCTCTGCCACATTGACATTGAAGAGTCTTGACTTAATTGCTCTCTTGGAATTTACTTTGTTTTTCCCATTCCCACCACTACACTGACCCTCCTCACAAAATTCCTTTAAAAAAATTTGTGTGTGTGTGTCCTTGAAAAGTGTTTTGTCTAGAAAAGGCAAGCCATCTCCATCAAAAATTAGTAATAGCTTACTGACTAAAACAATTAAAAGGTCAAGCTTTTACATCTCTGTTGAAAACAAAAATTTATCACTGAAATATAAGGTGTTCAGAATTGAGTTTCTTAATTCTTACCACAGATGTGGTTTGTGTAGATTTGAGGTATCTTCTCCTTAGCATGTTAGTCGTATTTGCTTCTTTAAACTAGTATCAGATTCTTTTTTATAGGTGTTTATACTAAAGAGAAGAGCCAAAATTGAGTGGAGGGAACAAGTCAAATTTAATGCTCCCAACTCGCTGGGGTATTCTGGCTTCTCTTGTAGCCTTTTCCAGAGTATTCTACCACTAGTTGTCAAACAGGACTTGAAGGGAAAGCACTAAGACAATAACAGCATTTGAAAACCTACTTGGAGCTGTTAGAGTATGAAGTATTTTATACTTGTGCTTCAGTCATTACAGGAGTCCTCTGCTGTACGTGTTGTCCTTCCCTTCAATAAGAGGAAACTAATAACTTAGAGGGTGTTAAGTAACTTGGCCAAAGTTTGTATAGCTAATAAGTAGGAAAGCCTGGTGTCTTATGATCTTAAAGCTCCACTTTTTCCTCATATTCTAGAATATTGTGATAATACTTACCAGATGTCATTCCACATACCCACATCAGCTACTCACTTATTATACCTCAGACCAGAGATTCTTAAGATGATACTCAGGGACATTGTGTGTGTGTGTGTGTGGGGGGGATCATGGAAGTCCTTAATTTATATGTAATACTCTGTATTATATCTTCATTTTTGTGGAGAGAGTGAGGTCTGACTCAAAAAAGATTATGAATTGCTGCCATCGTTGGCAAAATAAACAGTAGTCCAATCAACCAGACCAGCTCAGGTCAAAGGATTATAGTGCTTGTGTGATTGTTTTTTCACGTAGAATGTTTCAGTCATCTTTGAAATTGTCTTTTATGCATCATCTTTAACATTTCACTGTATTTCTTGCAATATCATCTGTGGGACTTTGGTTTGTTTGCTTAGGGAACAGTTCCTATTTTTTTATTTTACTTGAATGTTATTATGGCGGGATGAACACACTGTTCTTCACAGAAGCAAAGGTTGCTCTTTTTAAAATCATTCACTCTAGAAAAAGTGACATTTGGTCAAAACTTCAAGGAAGTGAAGGAAGGAGCCGTGATGAAATATAGGGGAAGACTACATCATGTCTTTGCTTAAAAGCAAGGTGGTCTTTCGTTGTTAAAAAAAAAAAAATTAGCCATAGATTATTAGAAATGTTAAAATTTTATTTCAGAGCAGCTGTACACGGGAGCCAAAAAAGTAAATGACTCCTTAGGATTTTTATGGAAGGGATTTGCTTTGGAGGAGTAAAGTAACACATTTACCCATATTCAGGTATAAGATTGGCTACTGCTTAAGCAATGTTGTACAGCCTTGACCTGACCGGCCTTGCAGCTATCTTTGCTGACATCTTAAGGGTCCATTTTAGCATTCAGATTAGCATGGACATGCACATTTTCAGTACAGGGTGGTTCTTGTTTAGGATTTGTTTGGTTTAGCACAGATTATGGTTATCACTGTACTAGTGTTAGCAGTATAAAAATTATGGTCATTAATATAAATTTCTTACTGACACTAAAATCTGTGTTCCTATGCAGCCCTGCATCATCTCCTGGCTCCTGCCTAACGCTTTGACCTTGTCTTACCCCATAGTCTCCGTTACTTGCTGTGCTGCTTCTACCGCATTCGCCACCTTTCTGTTCCTCACATGTGCCTCTTCTCCGGCAGCCCTTGTCCTTGCTATTCACTCAGCCTGGAAGCACCTTCTCCTGGATCTTTGCATGGCTGGCCTCCTCATAATGTGACTCTGAGTACCAAAGTTACCTCCTGAAAGAGGCCTCTCCTGACCACCCTTCTAAAGTAGTTTCCCCCTTTCCTCTCACCAGGTGTAAGCACGTCATCCTGGTTTATTCCGTTCATAGCACTTTTCACTGCCTGAAATGATTGTTTACCTGTCAGTTTAAGTCCCCAAGAGTACAAAAGTCATGAGGTTAAGGACCTTCTGTCTTTTGTCCGTCCTGGCCTCCATCAGTGCCTGGCACACATTAAGTGTTTAACAAATGGGTTATAATCACACAGTATAGTCTTACTGTAAATCAGATATTTCTTCAGTAGTTTTGCATATTTACCAGTTTGAGGATTAAGTCCCATATAATCAACTCACATAGTCCTTTTCCCCACTTACACTTTGTATTCTCATTTCCCCTTCCTGTGTCATCATAACTCAGATTTCTTGTCAAACCAGTGTTTCATTCAGCCCAATATTCTTTACCTGAAGGTAGCACTCAGTGATGTTTTGTGGAGATCATAGCTGGTGACATTGCTTCTGAAGGTTAACGAAGACCTTATACATCTGTAGCATTTCCTGGGAACCTATTACAGATCTACTCATGAAATTATGAAAGGTCTTCTTAAATAAATTAGAATCTTCATCCTTTTGAGCTTATGAGTTCTTTAGGTTTTTTACTATCTATATAAAACTGTGGGGGAGAGTCATTTATACAGTATTATAAACAAGACCCTTGTTAACGTAATTATATATTTAGATTATCTTTAAGGAATTACTACACAATAAGGTATACTTAAAACTGCACTAAATATGGTCTTAGATTTCAAAGGTACTTCAAAATCATCATGAACTGATTCATACAATACAACTAAAATTAGAGTCTCTTCAGTGGTACTTTTTTGTTGTCTGGAATCTGAATAAAGATTGTTAGTGTTCCTTTTATTTGTATTTATTTGTATTTAAATGGCCTTCTTCAGACTTCTATCCTCACTCTAGGATTTGAGATTAATTGTTGTCTGTACTATTTGCCACCTGGTTCAGGTCCTTACCTGAGGTGGTAATTGGTCTAGTGCATGGGGTTTTGAGCTTATAGTTGAAAAGCGTGCATTTGGACTCCCATCACTGGATTTGTGATATTTGAGTCCTTTTCTGGGCCTCAGGACCTTATCTGGCTTTCAAACCTAAGTGTTATTTCTGTTTTAAAGAGTGGAAGGCTCCTTTCATCTCTTAGCCCACATCTTGCTCCTAAAGATGAATTAATGGAGATCTGCTTTATCTATCTTGTGAGGGGGCTGGTGACAAAAGATAGCACCAAAATTTCATTATATTGAAATCAGTATTGCTAGAATAATGCAATGAGCTGTGAACTTTCCCTTCCTTCAGGCATTATGACCCCTCTGATCTTTTGCATGGGACATAACTGACTGTAAGTTCATCTCCAGAATCACACAGGACTCTTTTTGGCGGTTTTTTAGTGTCCATTGGAGCTGATCATTGCAAATGAGATGCAAAAAACATGAGGTTTGGTCTGTGTGTTTTTGTTTATTGGAGGAAATGGTTTAACAGATGATTATTTACTTCACAGACACCACTAAAGAAAACCAAGGCTCTCATTGGAGAAATGGGGATGACTTTCTCCAGTGCTGTAAGTTTTGAAGCTAACTTAATTTTGTGAGACTTTCTGTTCATGTTCTAAGAAGAAGCACTCTCTTTTGGGGAGTCTAATGTAATCTTTGTGGTTTTTTCCCTAGTTAAATGCCTGATCTAAAGGAAGGACTTTATTTAATGTGATTTAAATTCTTTTAATTGAAATACTACTTTTTACGAATTGAACCTATGTCCAGTGTAGGTATTTTCTAAGCCAGTTTGATTTATAGTTCAGAACTAGAGAATTTTTTTAAAGCCTCACTGTTTGAGGTTTGAAAATGGATTGTAATAATCAAGTTAACATTCATGCTATGTAAATTGCTTTGTGGTCAACGCTTGCGGGCCACTTTACAAAGCCCAGTTAACCCTGACAGTCAAACCTGAGAAAGGTAATAGCAACCAAACAAAACAAACATCTCTGTGTGTATATATACACATATATGTGCGTGTATGAGATATAAATATATATATGTATATATAAATGTAGGTGCGGGGCGCCTGGGTGGCTCAGTCAGTTAGGCGTCCGACTGTTGATCTCAGCTCAGGTCTTGATCTCAGGGTTGGGGGTTCAGGCCTGGTGTGGAGCCCAGATGAAGGAAGGGAAGGAAGGAAGGAAGGAAGGAGATGCAAAGAGATGGAAAGATCCATAATAAAATACTAATAAATCAAATTCAGGAACCATGCACATAACCAAGTAAGTAGTAGCCTAGCTTATCAGGAAATCCATTAAACAGCAACATAGTGTTTTGCTTAAGAGCACAGATTCTAGAGCTGGATCACCTAGTTTTGAATGCTCTCTCTGCCTCTTTTCTAACTGTGACGTTGGGCAAGTTATTAACCTTTCTGTGGCCCTTGGTTTCCCCATTTGTAACTGGGTGTACTAAAAGCTGTCTCTGGATTCTGTGATATTAAATGAGTAGATAGGTGTAAGGCAAGCACTCATATCAGCACCTGACTTATAGTACATACTGCATAATGGTAGTTGTTATATTGTCCACCAACAAGATCAGTAGTTGAAAGACAAAATCTTAATAGACGCTTGAAAGTCCTCTGAAATTTTAGCATCCTTTCCTGGTAATGGATTAAACTGTTAGAAGAATGCATCCTTATTAAGATGAGTATTTCAAACAAATAGCACACCTTATAGTTGAGGTGAAAGATTCAGGCCACTGCTGTTAGACATGAGACAGGGGCCTAATATTTGTCACTTAATGCTGTTCTGATTGTCTAGTCATTGGCACAAGTCCTGCGGAATTAACTGGAGTATTGGAAAAAGACACAATTATTATTTCCACTTCTTTGTATTTTCTACCTAGAAAACATAGAATTGTTTGAAAACTTTTTAAATTAATAGAGTTTAGTAAAGTAGAAATGAAAAATAAAAATAATCTTCTCCTGTATAACCAGTTAGAGAAGTACTGGGGAGGAGAGAGAATAGAGCCCATTCATACAGCAGGAAAATGCAGACTCTAGATATAGCTGGTGGTGGCCAGTAATGGTTTAGACCTATATAAATAAGGTTACAGAACTTTGTGCATGATGTAATAATAATACTTAATATGTAGACACACCCATCATTTTTGTGGGAAGACCCAAGATTAGTTTATCCTAATCAGAATCCCAACAAGATTTTTTTTAGGCTGAATAAAGTGATTCTAAATTTATCTGGAATTATAAGTAGGTTAGAACAATCAAGGTCATTTCTTAAAGGAGGAAATTGCCCTTCCAGATAATAAAATGTAATATGAAGCTACAGTAAACAGTGTGAGATTGACCAAAAAATAGGTCAGCAGACAAAAAAGCAAAAGGATTAAAAGGCTTGCCAATGTAAAAATTACAGAAGTCAAATATCTGACAAAATTTAAAAAGCAGAAGTAAAAAATGGCAAATATTTGTAACATGACTGAGTCCTCCCTTTACTCAGATTTTATGTAACAAGAAGCTGATGCCCCAGGAGGAAAAAATGTACAAAGCACATGAACAAATCATTCACGTAAACACAGGTGGTCATTATGCATGTGGAGAATGTTAATCCTCACCAGTATTTAAAAATGCCACATCCAATTTGAAAGGCCAAAGAAATGCCAATTATTTAAAAGGGGTAATATGTAATTGTGGCAAAGGGTGTACTTGAATGAGCATTCCTTCCCTGCTGGTGCGAGTATAAACTAGTATTATTCTCTGTAAAGTGGCTTGGTGATGTGTACTAAGACGTATACAAATATTAGGTAGAATGGGCAAAGTTTATTGATGATAGTAGCTAACAGAAATGTAGAGTAGAAAAAATAATCTATGTCCAGTGTATTAAGTGATACAGGAAATATATAAAGCTACAGATTATCCTGAAAATGAACCTGTGCCTCTCAGCTACATCAGATTCAAGTAGTACTAATTCTTTATTTTTGGTTAAGACCTAGCTCCTAGGGGCGGGCACCTGGGTGGCTCATTCGGTTAAGGGTCCTACTCTTGATCTCAGCTCAGGTCTTGATCTCAGGGTCTTGAGTTCAAGCCCCATTTTGGGCTCCACACTGGGCATGGAGCCTACTTAAAAAAAAGAAAAAAAAGACCTAGCTCCTATCCTGTACATATTTCTTTGGCAGATGAGATTGGAATAACTTATTCTGCAGAAAGAAACCAACTGAAAAATCTGTTCTCTTGGTTTCTTTTATCTGGTTTACTTCTCTACTATGGGACTTAAAACAGCTCAGAAGTGTGTCATGTGTTACCAAAAAAAACTCTATTCCACGGGAAACTTGAAATTCAAAGTTAGAGTATTAAGTAGCTTTCTTTACTCTCTTTAGAAATGATGAGAAATCCATCTTTCTTGTGTAACTGGGTTTTTTGCTTGTTCCCTTTGTAGTATGTGCCAAGTGCTCTTTGCTGCCCGAGCAGAGCCAGTATCTTGACAGGGAAGTACCCACATAATCATCACGTTGTTAACAACACTTTAGAGGGAAACTGCAGTAGTAAGTCTTGGCAGAAGATCCAAGAACCAAATACTTTCCCAGCAATTCTCAGATCGATGTGTGGTTATCAGACCTTTTTCGCAGGGAAATACTTAAATGAGGTAGGTTGAATGATCTAATTATTCCTTTAAAAAAAAAAAGATTTATAAATGTGAATTAATGTAATTCATGTTGTCTTTTAGTTATCCATTTGAGTCATGTTAAAATGTTTTTTTGTATATGTTGTTTTCTCCTAATCTGCCCATTAAACAAGAATTTACTTACATGAGCATATTTACATGATTTAAGTACTATAGTTCTTCTTCCTTTAAATAGCCTATGGCATTTATTTAAAAGTTGTCCTATGACTGCTGCTGTCTGATGCATCTTCCCCTTTTTCTTCAAGAATTTCGCTTCTCATGTGGCTGTCATGGTATCTTTGTCTCCATTTCCCCTTTATCAGGATGAGAATGAAGAATTTTTTCCTCCTACCACCTTTCCTGCGTTATAACAACTTAAGACTTACCCCATTTTCTAACTTGGAAAAATGGGAACAAAATGTGGAGCCATCAGTGATTGAGGGAAGACACCCAGAGCCTGGGATATTCAGGCCACTAAAGCATATGGCTTAGTGGTGGATGTGCTGGCCTCTTGTGCGCCTGGATGGAGGGATACCCATTATAGCCTGCCAAGGCCAGATTTCATGGCCCCCGGGTTCACCACCACATTAGCTTTTTAGTCAGAGTTCAAACTTAAAGGAAATAGTTTATTTGAGAGTATCTCGGTTATCTCTTATAGTAAAACTGGGGCTGCAAGACAAAGAAAAGATGTACATTTTCTTACATACTTTATCCATGGTTGCTAGAGATACTAATATTTGATCTGAATTTTCTGTTCATTCTTTCTCTCCCCACAATAATTGGGAGAATATGCAAGCTTGTGAGTTTGAAGGAAGAGAAGTCAGTTTGAAAAGAATCATGAGAAATAAGTACAGATACTAAGTTATTGAGATAAGGCTGTGGGTCATAAAGAGAATTTACACTACTTTGTATATCAAAGATCATTTAATTGTATACAAAATTCAGAGAAATTCAAAATACAAAGATTTCTCATGTATTAAATTCTTCCTTAAATGGGCAATACTAAACCTTGTCGAGATAAAATGGGATGATTCTGTGGTTACTTAATTCATCTCACCAAATAAATTGAGCTCCAAAAGTAGGTTTCATCATCAGGACAAGTGAAGTTATAGGCTGAGAGCTCACAGTCTGATTATTTCGGCTGTTGTTAGCCACGAGGTCAGTTGGAGTTATTCATTCTCTGCCTCAGGAAATGAACTCTGTAGCCTAAGCCATGTGGACTTTTTCTAGAAAGGGCCAGAAGTAAATATTTTGGGTTTTGCAGGCCATATGTCTCTTTTGTGATCACAGTAGTTCCCCACCACCACCTTATCCACGGGGGATGCTTTCCCAGACCCCCAGGAGATGCCTGAAACCACAATAGTACTAAACTTTATGTATACTGTTTTTATCTGTGTATATGTACCTGTGATAAAGTTTAACTTCTAAGTTAGGCACAGTAAGAGATTAACAACTAATAACAAAATAGAACAATTGCAACCATATAATGCAATAAAAATTATGTGAATGTTGTATCTCTCAAAATATCTTATTACACTGCACTCCCCCTTCTTGTGATGATGTGAGATGGTACAGTGCCTACATGATGCGATCACGTGAGGGCAATGACAGGCATCGGGACCTTCTGACAGGAGGATCATTTGCTTCTGGACTACAGTTGCACCCGTGGTTGCAAACCACGGGAAATGAAACTGCAAATAAGGGGGATTCCTTTATTTGACTCTACCATTGTAGCATGAAAGCAGCAATAGACATACACAAACCAAAATGAGTGCATCTGTGTTCCAAAAATCTTCATCACTGAAATTTCAATTTTCTAAAACTGTCACATGTCACAAAATATTCCTCTATTGATTGCTGTTTGTATTTTTTAATGGTTGGAAAAAATTTCTTAGCTTGCTGATCATACAGTCGGCAGGCTAGATTTGGCCTACTGGCCATAGTTTGCAAACTCCTGCTTCAGAAGTTCCTAGGATTATAGTGTTCTTTACTTTTTGACTGGATTTATGTGTTGGGGAAATTGAGTACCTGGTTTCAGGCACTGATCTAAAAGGATTCTAAAAGTTTCCTCTTTCTTTCTGATCTGGTCATGTGTAAGCATTTCTGATGTCCTGCTTGTCTTGCTTTTCAGTATGGAGCCCCAGATGCCGGTGGACTAGAACATGTTCCTCTAGGCTGGAGTTATTGGTATGCCTTGGTGAGTGATTATTGAAGTCTGTGACAATTATACACAGCCCTACAGTAAAATATATTTACTCTGTAATTTAGCTCTGATTTTGATATAAGTTGCTTTGCATTTATGATTAGCTATTTTATCCTCTTAAAAGAAAGTCTGTTGATTTGGGAGTCACTCCTCTGGGGGATGTTTTTCCCGCATCACACAAGGTTTAGTTACATATTTGTCTGTTCTATCTGATCCACTTGTGGCTTTTTAAACTACGACAGATTATTGAAACTATGCTAATAGTTAATAAAACTAGTCAAAAAATCCAGTTCAGTAATAACTTGGGTAATTACCTTTTTTTTTTTTTTAAATGCCTTTTTTTTCTTTAAAGATTTATATGACTGGGGCGCCTGGGTGGCTCAGTTGTTAAGCATCTGCCTTCAGCCCAGGTCATGATCCCAGGGTCCTGGGATCGAGCCCCACATCGGGCTCCCTGCTTGGTGGGAAGCCTGCTTCTCCCTCTCCAGCTCCCCTGCTTGTGACCCCTCTCTCTCTGTCAAATAAATAAATAAAATCTTTTTTTAAAAATGCAGTATATTAGCTGTCTCTTGTTCATCCTGCCTGTCATCAATGCAATGGATGGATATGCTATTCGACAGGATGCCCAGACAGTCTAAATCTGTTTAGACTATGACATATACTTATACAAGAAGTGTTTTACAATCCCCAACCTGTTAATTCCTTCATCTGTGTCATTTATTATGTTTCCATTGACTGATTGTTCCTTGGTTATGGGTTCATTTTCCTATTTGATATCCTGTGTAATCCTGGGAATTTCATATTGTTGAGCATCTAGATTTTGTAGTTTTCATTTGAAGAGTGTGGATCCTTGTTCTCACAGGCAAGTTAAATTTCTTGCAGATCAGCTTGATATTTTTGTATTTAAACTTTGTCATTGTAGGGGCACCTGGGTGGCTCAGTCAGTTGTGTCTGACTCTTGATTTCAGCTCAGATCATGGTCTCAGGGTCATTAGATCAAGCCCCTCACCAGGCTCTGTGCTCAGTGGGGGGGAGGGGAGGGTCTGCTTGAGATTCTTTCTCTCCCTCTGCCCCTCTGCCCCCCCAACCCTGCTCTCTAAAATAATAAATAAATCTTTAAAAAATAAATAAACTTTATCATTGCAGGTATACAGTACTTTTCACTCATGATAATTTAGCCCTACTACTAGGATATGACCTTTTTGGGTTCTCTATTAATAGCCCTGATGACCAAAGAAGACTCTCTCCTGGCTGGTTGGATCTCAAATATCTCCTCTGAGAATTCTTACATCTCCTTGTTTATTCGTTGCCTTACCTTATGTATGATGGCTTCACCCTACACATGGATATCTTAGTGTTCAACAAAATCTCAAAAAGATATTTGCAGATTTATGGAGCTTTTCCTCCTCTTTGGAACTTTGTCTCCCAACTTCCAGCTACCTCAGCCTCCCCCAAACTTAATCTCTCTCCCCTCAACTCATCTTTGTTCTACATAGGATCCTCTTTCTGGCTCCCTGGTTCAGAATGTGCCTACAAACTGAAAGTGGGGACAATTGTTTCCTTTTTACACATGGATCATAGTCCTGCACTGACTGTTGTCCATTGTGTGAAACATATTTTGTCCTGTTTTCTGGTTGTCTGTAGCAAAAAGGTTAGTGTGCCCTATTATTCCATCATGGTCAGAGATGGAGGTCTTAAGGTTATTAAATATTTAAGTTAAAGATATTTTTACTTCAAAGGTCATAATAAAAAGTAGTGTTGTACCCATAATGGAAATTTTATGGGAATTTTTCAACTAATAGCTGGGTTTAATCCATTTTTGCTTAAGGTGTAGGAAAAAAAATTTTAAAAATTTAAAAGTGACTTACTTTACCACAATTTATGAAAAGTTAATTTAAATAATGGAAAAATGTTCTTAAAATTTTTTTAAAGACCTTATTTTTAAGTAATCTGCACACCCAATATGGGGCTCAAGCTCACAACCCTGAGACCAAGAGATGCATGCTCTAGCAACTAAGCCAACCAGCCTGATGGGAAAATGTTTTGGGGTTTTTTTGTTTTTTTTTTTTTTTTTTTTTAAATCTACATTTTTTACACTCTTTTTTAAGATTTTATGTATTCATTTGAGAAAGA